ATGACCAGGGGGGACTTCCATATAAAAAAGACAAAGGTGCTCGTCAAAAAATTTTGAAAAACGAAACCTAAGAAGTGCCAAGAGACTGCTTTGTGGGCGTGCCTTGAAATTTTTTCACTCCTAAGAGGTACCAATTCTAAAACAACACATTAAGTGACACTAACTTTTTCCACTCACTACCCTAAAAGGTAACGCGAAAGCTCCCGCTGTGGAGCTTTTCAGGTTTAACACCCCTAAGAGATAACAAAACCATATTTCTAACTCCCAAAAGGTACAACGAGCAATCCCGTCCTTTTTATGTGGAATTGAAGTCCCCCGGGTAAAAAGAACCACATAGTAAACAGAGCGTTAAAAAAAAGTAATGAGGTGATTGAAGATCAGAATCTTCTTGAAAGTTACCTTGGGCTCTTTGAAACCCATTGACGGGCTGTTGAAGCCACTCGCGAGGATCGTGGATGGATCACGCGGGGAATCCTCATTCCTCTCTGAAGCAACGCGTGATTTCTCTTCCCTTAAATTTGTCACGGTACAGATGACCGCAAACTCTACCAACGCACCAAAAACAAAGAGAAAGCTTCCCAGTAGGTAAAAATCGATGGCCTTGATGTAACCGACTTTAGGGAGAGAGGCCTGGACACCAAAGAGAAGTGTTGTTATGGCGAGCACCGTGGTGATACCGAGGGAGACTCGGGCGGGTATGCTGTGTTCATTGATCCAGAAGCCGACCCAACTGAGCATGACAATCAGTGCAGTGGGAATAAAGTCTTGGATGATGTAATAACCAATATGGCGTTTTAATCTAAGAGAAACTGCCAGAGCAGAAAAGTTTCCTGGAAAAATCAATTTGTGGCGTTAATTAAAAGAGCATGGATATCTGAGGTCAGGAGCCCATCACCAGGAGCCTCCACACATAATATAACGTAGAGTCAACCTTTCCCGTATCATTCTATTTTTAGAACTATAATTAGCGCAATGGTCTCTTGGTTTCCCACGAAATATCTTGTTTCTCTAGAGAGAAAATGCAAAATAGAGGGCAAAAGTGGGGTCTCATAAAGAATGGTCTTAGCTGGGGTATCATTGGGTATTGAAAAGGGGTCGTGTGAAAACTCCCACAAGAGCTGTTTCTAAAAATAGAAAGATACGGAAAGGATTGACTCACAGAGTTAGTACAAGAGATGGAGGTTGGCACCATGCTTTCTTGGTTTAGAAGAGACAAGCCACATCACAATAGAGCATCGCCTCACAAACTTTCATTTTACTCTTCATTCCTTTGTTCTTTTGTTCTCTATTGTTCTACTCAACTTTGTCTTCTACACCGAGTAAGAGCCAAACAGACGGAAAATAACAATAGCAGATCTCAGTTTAATCATATCACTCAGTTCTGAACAAAAACTAAAGCAAACTGATTTATAGGTTTATATAAACAATAGCCTCCATTTTGCGCGAATATATATATGTTATTTGCCGGCTGGGGGGTTCATATAGTGACCCGAGGTCACAGTTTTCCACTATACGGACCGACCCTAAGCCGGCAAATAACATATTTATTTTTTTCCTGCGGTAAATTGGCCTACAAGTGGTTTTTTTACGCAACTTTGTCATTGAATTGGCTTACGCGCCGTCTAAAAGCCATCGTAAAAAATCTAACGAGCGAACGAGCGAGCTACTCAGATACTAGACAAAGAAAGATGTATTTAAGAACAGATTTATTTCGAACTACTTTATGTTAGTTGCATTTAGTTCACCAGTTAAGTTCACAGAACTGTTTTTCCGGAGTGAAATTTCGTGCAAAGTTTGAAGTTGTACGACAAAAACAATTTCTATCAGTCGTTGCGAATCACTCGAAATCAGACTTTCTTACCTTAAATTGAGTAGCAGAAAGCAAGGAAATCCGTTAAGTGTATTCCACAGAAATTCTCTTAAATGCAGAAACTATCAGAGAAGTAAACTGGACTGCAATTTACTTTTTTTTTTGCGTTAATTGTGTGGCGAGAGAAACACAGGATTACGCGCCATTACAGCGTCAAAATACTCAATTAAATTTACTTACAGTGACTTTCCTTGTCATTTAAAAGTGAATAGAAATGAACTTGTGTTGATTAATCATCGATGGAAGTGTAAAAAGGGCAAAGGTAGACCATTACCGCTAGTTCACTCAAGAAAATTGAAAATTCACCCGCGCTGTTTCTCACCGTTACCGTGACCGTGGTCAGAGATAGGAAAATCCGGACCGCGCTAAGAACCAATCAGATTGCAGGATTGGTTACCGTGCCCTCTTGCGAAAAAATAACCTCGGATATTCCCCAGTTTTAGCTGGGTAATATTCGGTCACGTAAAGTGTTTAGACCAATTGCGCGCGAGCGAAAATATTTGATGGATTATAATTGTTGATATTAAGCTTAGCATAAAATTTCGCTGTCAACTGCTGGAACCTTGAGCTGCCCACACACACAAAAGCCGTATTAATATTAATCCTTTGAAAAATGTTGCTATTTGCCTGTGATTTGTTATTTGCGCTACTTATACCTGTTACCAAAGTGTCTTTCCTGGAAAGTACTTGCCATTCAACCAGAGTGAATTGTGGGATTGCAAGTCTCGGTGATATCGTGACCTGTGTGCGCTCCTTCGTTGCCCATGCGTAAACTAGGTCTTTATCATTGTATCCAACTATCCAGAGAAAAGATAGAAAACATTCCTGACTAATATTCTTGAATCTTTAAGCCTAACTAGAATTTTACTTGTCTTCCCTGTTTCGTATTTCCCGTAAAAAAAAAAAAAGAAAAATTAAAAAAGAAAAGAAAGGTTACTGAAATTCAGGATAAAATTTATCGAAACAGTTTATTTCTGCGCCCAATTTAAATTTTGTTGGCGTTCTTAAGCAGAATATGCATTACTTGTAAAGAGAAAGAAATAGTTTAAAATTGTGGAGATGGTGTACAGATCTGTAAAAGCAAATTTAGTCCATTTAAAAGGCTATGTCTTACACCCCTGAGGACGAGTCCTCCATTCAACTGCAGTAGAAGACCTTGTTAACTATAAATATCATTTATTTATTTATTTATTTATTTTTTAGTTCTTTGGAGGTGGGGAGACGGGGGTGAAGGAGGGGTATAGATAGATAGATAACTTTATTTACACGCGGTAAAAAAATCAGGGCTCATGGTTATGACTGCTAACCTCATGGTCCGCATGCTCTGTGTATGATTAGCGTTGTATAATGTCGTATCTCAAGCAGTGCAGAAGGTCTGGGTTCTAACCTAACAGGTGGTAAGTATCTCGCCATGATTGAAATAGACTAACTGCAGTTTCAGAATACGGTGAATACTTACAGCTTTGGATAGACAGTTCGCATGTTTGCTCGTCCATCGGAAAATTCCTCAGATCCATGAGGCAATAAGACTGTACTCTCTTCCTAAAAGAAAAACCATCCTTACCGAGTGCCATCACGTTTTTGAGTCTGTATGATAATAAGTATTTAAAAGAAAGTAGAAATATTCCCAGTCCCTTCATGCTACAGAAACCGGGATAAGCTTCGGCCTGAACGGCCACTTCGTTCATATGCATAGATTTTACCTTACCTTACACTGGACGAGAAAGGCCCAAACAACTGAATATCCATTATTTTACGCGTTTTAGTATGCACGCGCGCATTTTAGCCCATGTTCACCAGCGCAACGTTTTCTTCGCGTCACGTTCCAAGAATACATGGTATAACAAAGGTGTTCATTTCCATTTGGAGAAATTAAGGAAATCGGCAGACATCGTAACTCAGTTTGTAACACTTGACGGGAAAAACACTAAATGTAATCAAGTGTCTGAAGTAATCACCTTATGCTATAAGTGATGTTTCCCTCTGCAGTAATCTCCAGCAGGAAGTCATGTCGAGTTTTATGATCAGTCATGTCTGATTCAAAGAAGGTATCCGGCAGCCATATTTGATCGACAAAGGGAGCTCCAGGTTTAATGGAAGCTGCTTGAAGATGTTTTCCGAATGCTAGGCGGTGATCTCTCCAGTACTGACGGAAGAAAAAGGTTGCAGTGAAATCCTGTTGAAAAGAAAATCCCGAAGTTAACATTCGAACGCTGATATCAAGTCTGCTCTATGATATTTCCCTCATTGTCATTAACACACATACTTAATTTTGTTAAGCCTCCTGTGAACATCTCAAGGTTGTGTGAAACGAGCGCGAAAATATACGCGTGCTACACGCGTCTCTCATAAATAATAAACGGAAATCACTCGAGTCAAACAGCACGCGAAACGTTTTGTTTCGCACGTCGCGTTAGCAATTTGTTACGCTCGCGGGTCACGCCCGTGTATACGTGCGGTTTCACCTCATGATGAATGATGACAGGAAAATTCTTGCAAGATTTCTTATCTGACTTCACTGCAACGCAATTAAATTTTGGCACCATGCACAAAAAGAAATTACGTGATATATCCTCACCATGTTGATCTCATGGATGGGCACAATGGCAAGTACGTGAATATCAACAGAAACTATCACAGGAGAACCTGGAATTAAGGGAAATGCTTTAGCAATCAGTGAGTAAATAGAACCTTTCATAATAAACGGAGAAAATGTTTTGAAAGATCTAGAAAAAGCCTTCTTACAGACATTTTGTAGCTATTGAAGTTTGTACGCAAAACCATAGCTGTTGCTATAGATTGACTGTCATCATTTGTGTCCAGGGGAGCAAAAACCGCGCGATCTTTTTAGACGGCGTGACATGGGCACGAGAAGTACAGGTTTATTTACTCCTCTCACTCCACTTGATTCAGATACCCAGTCCTCTCGCTCGCTCCACTCACCCATTCCGCTTTAGTGAAAAAAGTACCATCACCAGTCTTACCTCCTACATCCGGCCTGACACGTTTGTCATAATTATCCAATAAAGTGTCAAGCACATGACCCATCTCATTTACTCTCTGCAAAGAGGCGTTATCCGCAGCACTGAAATATAGAATCACATAGTTTAACCCGGAAAATTAGTTTCCTTGGCGTGGCATGGACCTTTCGACGCTCACATTTCAGTTAGTTGCTGGTGTTCTTTCAACTTTCTCAGCATTACATACACATAGATATAGTCAAGAGAAAATTGTTTTCTTGGTGGCGCACCTATAAACTAGCTGGTGCGTCCTGTAGACTCTGCTTATCAAGTCTATGGGACGCACCGTTACCATAGCTAAGTGTGCGACAAATGAAAATTAAACTATATTATTTGGGAATACATATTATACGGCTAAACTAACTAAGATTATATAACTACCTTAAATATTATGTAACTACTATTCTATTACGACTTTATTTACATTCTCTCAGCAGTTGAGCTTGAATCACGCCATGTGACTTTCTTTGACTGAGCACTCAGAATTGGATTCCAGCCTGTTTCTTTGACATCTATTATTTCATTTCCAATATTAACCTCGACAATTTTAATTTTTAACTGATTTAATTATAATTGTTTTTCTTCTTTTGTATCTCTGGATAGATCCTTATTCTTGCCCGCAAAACGCTTGCGACTGCACCTTCCATATTCTGCTTGAAATTCAGCGGGCAGAATTCACTACACGATTTCCCCGAATGCTTCATTAGAGGATGTACTGCACTACTAAAACAAGACTTATATAAATCAAGGAAGGCCAAAAAACTACAGGGAGCAAATGTTGTTATTTTAAAGTTTGAGTTTCATCTTTTCAAGGTTTATTCAGGATTTGAGACAAAGAAGGGGTTGAGCATGTCTATGAAGTGAAAGTCGTTCTTATTTCTTTGATCAAAAGTTAGCCCACTTGCAAAAGAATTAGGACATGCAGGGTGATTATTTACCCAAAGGACCATATTTTTTGTTTTAATTCAACTTTAACTTTAACAGTTTTAAAATGTTCACGATCGAAAAATAAAGTAGTGCGCAGATGACACGAATAAAAAGGTGAACTTGAAAACTAGATAAACAACATACACTCACCTTTCGTTGTATTTGATTGTTTCTGTTTGCACGGAATTCAGCCAACCAAAACACAGGAATACCACGAATAACTTACAGAACAGGTATACCTGGTTCAGCGGTCTTGCCTCCATATCGCTGAGGTGAAAAAGTATCATCGCTTGTCTCGCTTTTGTGAACACGTCTTCGACAGCGAAGGTGTCCTGTACCAGTGATGTCTGCGATAAATCTACTGCTGCAGTTTTCACTCAAAAGTGCAGCTGTTGGAAAAATTCTGCCCTAACTCACTGCTGGGAGCCCTGTTGTTTCACCGAAATCCAAAAAACTTTCTGAGTTGTACCGTATTTAATTTACTTCGCTCTTAGTCTCCTGGGTTCATTAAAAAGAAATCAATTTATGAATTCATGCAATGTGCTCTGCTCTATGGGAGTAAGTAAACATAAGGGACCGTTTGTTAACCAAATGGAAAACCCGAATCATTTGTCAACTCGCATGTCTTTCCTCGCGCTAACAAGACGGGTTGTAGTCCAAAACATAGCGGGCTAGGTTCTTGTCATCCTGCCTCAGTGTATCACCAGTCTATAAGCAGCGTATTCTCTTGAAGGTGGTGTTATATTGAGGTAGGATATTACCGTACACGGCGGGGTGAAGATATGAATTTCATTTTCGAGTGATAAAAACATTATTTTACAAACAAACGCAGCGAGGAAAGTATTGTTTTTAACACGAGAAAGAAAATTCATATCTTCAAGCCTCTGTGTAATTTTCTTTTTATTATATAAACAACCCGACTGTTTACGCAAGCGGGAAAAAGCGGGAAATAAGGTTATTAATATATTCACCAGTAAGGATATGAAAAATACGCCGCTTGGGTCCCGGATGGTGCACGTGTAGAACAGACACTCGTGTCTTTATATAGCAGAAGTTAATTCTTAATTCATGACCAGTCCGGTATCAATTCTTATCCATGTATCACAAAGGTATTCCACCTAACCTCTCTCTTGCCGAACACGATATTATTATGCATGTCTTTTTAAAAATATATGTATGTTTTTTTATTATTATTATTATTATTTCTTTTATCATAAACTTTTTTTTGTTTTCTGCACTTCTAGTGCTTAGATCATTTATTACAGATATCGTTTAACCTACTTTAATTATATTCGTTTCCATTATTTGTTTTTGTCACTAATATTACTTACACATGATTTTCACTAGTAATTTTACGTTATTTATTTCATTATGTCTTTCCATACACCTTATTCCAAAATGGCCGTCATTTTAGTATTTTTTTGTTTACTTGAAAATGAGCCCTTGTTGCCTCGTTTAAGGAAAAATATTCTTTTGAATTTCGAGTTTAAGAACGAGGCAAAAAGGGCTAATTTGCAAGTAAACAAAAGAAGACTTAAATGGCGGCCATTTTGGAATAAGGTGTATTTCGCCCTACATGTGCGCATTTTGCTCGGCTTGGTGTAAAATGGGAATATTCAAGTAGCTAGTCTAGACTGAGATTTTGCAGGTGAATTTCTTATTTCAGCGTAATTCTCTTCGATTCATTAATTATGTCGTTGATTCTAATCAGAAATTTTAATCGCTTGCTGATGAGAAAAAAGGCAAAACTGTCATTTTTACCTTGATAATGATGTTAGCAACATCGAAACGTCGGACAACTATAGTTCTATTAAAACTATATTTGTCGAAGAAATATCACAGCCCGGGAACTCTTGTATACTAAGCAGAAATGATTCGCTTACTATTAAGTAGCCTGCGTGCTGATTTTTTCTATATTCTTTGCTTAAGCATGAAACAAAACCGAATAATTTAGAAGTCTACTGTTAGTTGACGGCAAAATTAATTTAAAAATATGCCTATACTGCATTCAGTATTCCAATTCTTTTTTGCCATCGAATTTGATTACAAAAACAAACAATATCTTATCCTTGTTTTATTAAATTTGACTAGTTTGACAAAAAAAACATTGAAACATTCTAGAATAGGCATATTTTAGAGTTACTTTTTGTCAACTTAACTGTGGAATGCGTGTAGACCTGAATTATTTTCTTTGTTATATGATAAAGCAACATACGAAGAAACAATCTCATTTCTTTTACTTTCCCGCTGTGTCAGTTCCTATTGTTTTGCCTTTAAATAATTTATGAGCCCCTCTGCAATATTTAATTAAACGAGCTATCATTTGTACGCAAACACAGTGACAAATTATAACAATTATTATGAGCAACATTCTAGGAAAACTGCTCCGGCTTCTACCCTGAGATGAACGACAAAATTAGTCATGGTTGTCTACAACAAATAAGATGTACGACAGACTCAAGACTTGCTTACTAATCAATCACACGTATTACGTGTATAGAGGGAAATACGGCAAATTGAAGGTCCGCGAAAATAGGGTAAGAAACAGATTTGTTAATTACTATTTCCTACTTCGAAAGCAAGACAAAAAATTTAACAACAAAAACACTGAGCATATCAATCAATCACAAATGCAATAACAGTTTTGAAGTATTAAAATGGTTCATAAGCCGTGAACGTTTTGTGCCAAAGCCTTTTTGCGCGGAAGTCAGAAGTCCAGAAGTCGCGGGTTCAATTCCCGCTCTGGCCACTTAGATAGGGTTGTTTCTCGGTAGACCCTAGCTATTTCAACTCCTCGGTCGAGCTTGTAAATAGCCAACTGGTCTACCTCCCTTCAGTTGGGTTTTTTAAGCCTAACAGGCTATATAATTGCCTGTGAACTGGCTTAGTGTAGCTAAGCGTATTGACCACTATAAACAACAACATTGGAAGGTGGTTTACTACAGTTTTTCGGAGACTAGTAACGCGCGCTATGATTGCTTGCCAGACGTCAGTATTAATCGCGCGTGCACAAATGACGCAAGCAACCCTAAGAAGAAACGAAATCCACTTCAGCACTTGAAAGACAAAAAAAACTCGATAAACAACCGGTAAAAGAGCTCTAAATTACTCTTGCTTTCTCGCACACGATACATGGCGTCACATGAGCGTAAGCTTAAGTAAAGGGCATGCGCAATTCAATTCTCGTCCAAGGTTGTAAAAGCCAGTCTTTGGTCGAGGATTGCTCGAAAACCTACCGTACAACCCGTGATGAAATTTTCACAGTTGATTTGTAGGGGTGAATCACGTTTAGAGTCAAAACTTTTAAAAACTCTGTAAGACAGATTTTGAGCCATTTTTGATTTCACATTTTCTTAGTTTGCGAAAATCTGTCTTACAGATTTTCATTTTGCTTTGCATGAATGTTAAATCAGAGCCAATTTCCTATTCCTGAAATTTTGATGTGGGGTCATACGGGTAAATTTTGAGAGAAACGTGATTCAACCTACTAGTGCCCAGTCTCTCCCTAGGTACTCGGTCATTCATTTAGGCCATTTGTCGTCGTTTAATTGTTCAAGTTTCACATAAAATGGTAAAAGACTTATATAAACAGTAAATAGAGAAAGGAAAAACATCTTGGAACATTTTTCAAAAGAGTTAGAAGTTGAGCTGTTATAATCCATCAAAACTGTAGTAAGCTACCTTAATTCGCCGAAAACATTCATAGCTCCCAAGGTTTACAATGGCCACCTAATCAATCATACGATTCCATAATTAGTTACAGTGCGCTTTGTTTTTTAATAGTTAACTTCCACCTGCTTGAGATCTAATTCCGTGAAAATTTGAGAACATTCTAAGAAACAATCAGAATCGAAATCTTTTTATCAATGATTATGATAAAGAATAATTGATTGTCATAACAGGATTATGTGATTATAGCCGTCCTTCGGCCACAAATATACATTCATTTTAATGTTTATTTGAAATTCTTTTTCTTCGAATTTAAGTGGCAAGCCTAACAACTAGCTAGGAGAGGGCATTGAACACCACACAAAAGCAATTTTTTTTTGTTTACCTGCTGTGAGATTTGTTTCAATAGGTGAATAAAAAGAACTACTTAAAGCATAAACAGAGATCTTATCGACTTTTTGGGCCAAGTTTGCCACAAAATTTTAATTTTGTTTGAAAATACTCTACAACCAGTTCATGCATGATGCTAGTTTTTAACTGTTTTATTTTCTTTGCTCGCTTGCTTTGTTTTGTTTTGAAAAAAAAAAATCCAAACCAACTTGGTTAATCTTTTATCCTCTTTGGCCTAAGTTATACATATTTTTATTTGGCTTACTCGCTGAATTTGTTCAGTTTTAGTGTATCCGCGGTCACATTTGTCAGGAAAGAAAATCATATAGAAAGCAATAACAATGCCAAGTTTGTAAAGAAACAAGGGTCAAAACTCGCTCAAACTTCAACTTATTCAATTTAATGCATTTATTTTTGTCGCAAGGAGGGCAAGTGCTATCTTTTGTCAAAAGATTTATCAATGACAACAGCAAAAAATCAATAGGAGCGATAAATAACCGGACGGTAAACTAATATTGTGGGAGGCCCCCTACTGACCCTCCAGCATAAACATCTCTTGATTTGGAATGCTTGATTCTATGGTAGCTGCCGTCAAATTTCTCATAGTAATCCAAAACTTAGATAGCATCTACAAAAATTTGCAGTTTTCTAACTGACTGTTGACCTTGCCATCCCAGCGATATGACAAAATATCAGGTTTCGCGCTATAATTTCACATACTTATTCCCTTTTGTTTCGTTACAATAGATATCGCCGGTCGTTTTAGTGGACCCAGTAGGAAATTTCCAATTAAAAGGTGAGTATTTGAAAACAAACCTACTCAACTAGCAACAAAGTAATTAAGAAAAAGAAAAGAATTCCACTTCGTAGCCCTATAATCGCGTTATATTTGAGGTTGCGTAACCGTTCAACTTTAATTCAATTACTTTGTTTTCAGAATAAGAAACAACCTTGAGGAGTTGAACTGTCATCGAAGAACTTTCAAGGCAAAATACCAGGCAATTTTTTCCTTTGGCTTTGTCTTCGAACTTTTGACAAAACTTTCAGATTGAGATCACGCGCCCGTCAACTCTCTGAGCCGAAGTTCTCGCTGTTTGTGCCGATTCTGTTATCGGCCTTTTCAAGGTACGTTCCTCTAACAGCAAGAGAAAAATCAAATCGAGTTAAGTTTACCAAAAAAAAAAAAATTTACTTTCTGATAATTTAATTTTGCCTATTGCCGTAGAGTCAGTTTTTATTTAAGAATATATTTGCAATACTTGTTTAGATGAAAATCAAAAGTAAGAGTCGCACTCCTAAACCACAACAAAATCACGGTCATCTTTCCCATGACAACACAAAATATTCGAAACCAAAACATATATTAAACATATTCAAACTACATATTAAACATGTGTGCCTCCATCCATACTAAGCCGAAATGTTTTCTAAGATGTCCCTTTTCTATTACGTTGAATGGTCGAAAAATAAACTTCATATACAGATATACATCTCATCTTGTTTACAGGAAACTTAGCTGAATCTCTAAAAGCATTGAGGATGATGAAGACCTGGCTTTGGTTGAAGTTGATTTTAACGTTCCATATGCTGAAAGAACATCTCGTCTGTACAGATAAAATATGTCAAAACTTCAAATTTTTCATAGACCAACATCTTGTCGCTGACCACGCCCTTCAAGGTCATGTGTTTAAAAGCTTAACAGTGGACAGCGTCAGCTGGTGTCACGTGACGTGCAAAGATGACTGTCGTTGTATCTCAATGAACTACATACAAAACACTCCACGAAACAACTGCCAACTGAACGATGTTAACAAACTCATGAAACCAGATGCACTGAAATATAAAGCTGGAACAAATTATTACGACCTGGTACGGGAGTACATCATTGTAAGTATAGTCATTAAGGATATTTCCTGTTCTTTATAATTTAATTGAAGGAGCTTTTTAGGAAAGACGTAGTAAACAGGTTAATTTTGTTGGAGTCATTTTTCCGAGAATTTATGTGTTTACGACACGGTTCACATTTTAAAATATTAAGTAACACACCTTTAACAATTTATTTGTACCACAAATTACAAATTGCAATACCAAACTACTGTGCTTTTACTACATCCATACTACATTACCTATTTACACCAGGTGCTGCTTACTTACAATAGGAAAACGAAAGAAAAGAAAAGAATTAGTTAATTTTGACAATACACGTTTACTATAACTAAATCAAACAAGGAAAAAAAAGAAAAAAGAGAAAGAGTAAAAGAAAGGAAAACTTAAATACAAAAAATAGGTAAGAAAACAAACAAACAACTAACAGCGCGCGGAAGGGAGAAGAGGAACGATTTCTAATCTTGATTTAACACAAAGTATCTTAGTCTATAAAGTTGGTGAGTAGCATAGTCATGTTACAAGTAGTTTATATAGGTATTAACTTACAAAGGTCCAACTTTGTACATAAAATTGATTCCAGTAATGAATGGGTATGCTGTGGTACAGTTTTACGATTGATGCAACACGTTACTTCCCATTTCTTCATGCAATGTATTATCATACATTAGAACAAAGGAAATATCATATTCTACCAAGGGTAAAATTGAACAACGACAGGGACCTTATTCGACAAAATTGTACGTAATAGGCGGCTGTCCATAATAAGCGCACGTCCATTTTAAGCGGCTGCTCATAATAAGAGGAGCTTCGTAATAACCGGGTATCCGTATTAGGCGGGTGTGCGTATTGCGAAGTTGTCTTTAATAAGCGGGCGTCGGTAATAGACGGGTATCCGCAATGAGCGGGCGTCGGTAATAAACAGGTGTTGCTCAATAATAACTGGGTGTCCGTATGAAACGGGTGTGCGTATTGAGCACTTGTCCGTAATAACTGGGTGTAGGTAATAAGCGGGTGTCCGTAGAGAATGTGACCGGGGGGATCTTTAAAAGGTATATCACTGAAATTAATGCTGATGAATTTCATTGTGTTTAGCATGGCAGGCGTTTTCACCACAAAATTGACCGCTGTGTTAACAGATGCTGCCAAAACAATCCGTGTCTGCAGGGTGGGACCTGTCAGGAGATTTGTGAACCCACCACTGTGAGGTTTAACTGCAGTTGCCCTCCCGCCTATACTGGTCAGCGGTGTGAGACACTAAAGCATCCTCGTAACTGCAAGGATGTGGCAAGAAATGGCGCAAAGATTTCTGGGAGGTTCAGAGTTTACGATTCGCAAAACAAGCCTTTTCAAGTCTACTGCGACTTGACTCATGAGCCTGGCTATGTTTGGACGCTAATACAGTCGTTCTCTTACGGAAATAACGACCAGTTTAAGGTTAAGAGATTTGGTCTTGACTTCCCAGTAAACGAAGAGGCAAGCACAATAAACTGGAGCGCTTATCGGTTATCCCTCTCCCGTATGCGGTCACTTGCAGTTTCGTCAACCCATTTTAGAGCCACTTGCAACTTCCCGGATGGTCTCGTCTACACTGACTACGCTCGCGCAAAGTTGGAGGGCCACGATCTGTTTGGTCAGTGGTATACACAGTGCCGTACATATGAATATCTAAACATACGGGATATTGAGTGTAATGAATGCACCGCGGGCACCTGGCAAAATAACGAGATGTGGCATCTTAACAGTGAAAGGAGCGTCAGCACTGCTGGGTGTGAGTTTAACGGTGAGGTGGGAGCAGTTCCTCACGAACAAAATTTTGGATATTATATTTATTTTAATGTGAACTTCAGATGTACTTCCCGACAGAATTCAACCACTCAGCATTGGATTGGAAGTAGAAAATGAATAATTACAAAACCTCGCTTTTGTTATTTTGGAACTAGACGCACAAATGTTCGAAATGAATGCATATTAATGGCGCCTGCCGCTCAATTTTTGTTGTTGTTGTTGTGAGCTTTTGGCCACAGGTGACTAATTTCAAAGTGAAACTTGAAATTGGAACAAGAGTCTGAATATATGTATTAGTGAATAAATGTCAGTTCAGCTTTGAAACCGAACCAGGGACTCGAGATTTACATTGCATGAACACAAT